TACGGTACAGTCAGGAGGACACCTCGAGAAAGGCTTTTGAAAGAACGCGTTCGTTAGGCTAACACTGAGCCCACAAGCATATGAGCGTCGTAATATGAGACTATCACTAAGGTCCTGCATATTATTTAAGGACCATGCTATCACTTTTGGGAATGTAGCCATATCTATCGCTTCAGAAAAACTGGTTCAGAAAAAGCCGGCAAGAGGTCGCATCGGTCATTGGACGCGCGACATTGTACACGTCACGCAAAGCGTCGTGCTACGGCCGAAAGTCGTCGTCTCGGAATCGGGCGATAGCAGCCAATGACGTGCGCGATACGCGGTTATCGAAGAACGGATCGCCATCTGCTATTAGCCGCGTGGTAAATCTAAAGGCGACAAGGAACTTTCGAGATGATCGCGTAACCTTAACTACAGCAATCGGGAACCACGTCTGGAATCATTGCGGTGCGGGAGACCGTTATATAGATAACCGGGGTAGAACTTTGGAAGTATACGGGCCTTTGCTCCTCAAAGGCGGACGCACACAAGCCTGCATCATTGGTTGCGCTCTTCGAAGTGACGTCACTATAGTCGGACCGGGGCCGATGACTTCTACTTCGTGGCGCCGTTGGCGCGTTTGAGCAATGCGGTCGGATTGGATTGGATTGGATAAACTTTTATTTGGTCCTCCAAAACACAGATCACTGTGTTGCGGGCAGCTCCCACGTGGGGACTGAGATGCCAAGCTCCTCGGCCGCCTCGCGGGCTTGGTGGACAGCCCAGAGCTGATCTGCCAAGGAGTTTGTCCGCATTTATTCACTTGAACCCGAATAGTGTCGCCTCTCGTATCGCAAGCAAGAGGCTACAACCAGTTTCCGGGTCGGAGGTTCGACTCCCCTTCCCCATCACCCCTCTTCCTGCGTATACGCTAATGCCACATGGTTTTCAGCGTGAACGAAGCAAACTGTGCAAAACTTCGCGAAAGTATATACTGTTAGCGAGAGATAGAGAGGAAGATGCGTTGTCACTATAGCTATAAACTATCTGATAAGATAGTTTATTGCTATCACTACAGTCGTTAAGCACTAAAGGAAACCCACATATACGCTGAACACCAACATGGACTTAAGATAACACAGATGCCCGAGATATCCCTTAACTGTACTGAGCTGCCGACCTCGAAAATCGTGGGTCTTGGCACGTCGCGTCTTACAAGAACTAACAATGATTAATGCGTTTGTCCAGCTGGTTCGCCAACACAAGAAAACAATCTCGTGCACAATTGATCAAAATTTTAAAAAGCCGGCTTTCGACCCCCAGCTTCCAAGATGTATCGACACCTTCATGCATCACTCACGACTCGGCAACTGTCAAGCACTTTTCATTCAGCCACCTCTGACACGGTCGCGCGGTAATGATAAGAAGTATGTACTACCTCACCTGTTGCTCGGCTGTCCCAAACATGTGTCGAACAGGAACTTCGCTTGCTGGGCTCGGAGTGAAAATTTTCATTGGCGAAAATGCTGCAGTCAGTTACAACCTAAGAATTAATCATAGTCTCGCCCCATGCATGGTGGCCCGCTTCATTGCGAGAGAATGGTGATAGGCGTCTTCCGTTTTAAAAGGCCCCTGCAACAGAACACAACGTCGGAAGAAGAGTAGCGAGGGCCAGGACTATACTTCGTCAAGTCTCGAACGAGGAACGAGGGGTCGTATTTGTTGACGCGGCTTCCTACGCCAATGGGAAAGCGTTTGTGGCAGTGGTGGTCGATGGGGCTGGCCATGTGGTCAACTCAGTGAGGGTCAGGACGAAAGACCCAATTATTGCGGAACAGGTGGCTATCGCCTTAGCACTCAAGATGGATAACATTGAAGTCGTCTACAGTGATTCCGTGGCAGCACTACGGGCGTTCGCCAAGGGGACGGTCTCTGAACAAACGCTGAGAATACTGCAAGGCAAGAACATAACACATCATTTTCTGAGTTGGTTCCCAGCTCACCTTGGACAAATCAACGATTCCCCTCCCAATCTCAACGAAGCAGCACACGAGGCGGCGCGAGAACTCTCCAACCGCGCCTCCCCGGGGATGCGTTCTACCGGTGAAGGGGATAACCGGGAAATTCTTACAACATATAACGAGCTCACTAAACATTTCTACCTGTCTAGAAGGATTTTCCCTCCACATCACAAAAAATCTAACCCGGCCCCAAGCACTTACATTAAGGCTTTTGCAAACGCGGATGTACCCTACTTTGAAAATGTCACACATCATGTACCCTGACCTATACCCAAGTAATCTTTGTCCACATTGTGGGGAAATAGCTTCATTAGAACACATGCTCTGGTAGTGCACCAAATTCGCTCATTTATCGCACATCACCTCTGCCAGATGGGAGGCGGCAATCCGCAGCTCGTCCTTGGCAGATCAGCTCTGGGCTGTCCACCAAGCCCGCGAGGTGGCTGAGGAGCTTGGCATCTCAGTCCCCACGTGGGAGCTGCCCGCAACACAGTGATCTGTGTTTTGGAGGACCAAATAAAAGTTTATCCAATCCAATCATGAAACGCTGCCCAGTCCAGGCTCCTGAGAACGCGCGAGTCACACATTACAGCTCAGCACGCCGCCTTTAATTTACAGTAAATTCCCCGAGTCAGCTAGCAACTTGTTCTATCTTCTCTCGACAAACCATGCCATTGCCCAAATGACCACGCCATATATTCAAGTTCACGGCCATAGTTGAGTTGAGCATCATGGGCTCAAATCAACAATTTTATTATTTTTATTTTAGTAAAGGCGAAATTAGGTTTGATTAGGTAAAAAAATTGCGTCGTGGACATGCGCTTTATGGGCATACAGTTGTCCTCAAAGGGACAGTCAAATAACAATTTACGTCAGAGTGATAGCTTAATGTATGACAACATCTAAAACGACAATATTATTAATAACAGTGTCCTACTTACCGAAAAATCAAGGTGAATGCACAAGAACACAAGCGCCGCAGTAGGATATTTTCAGAATAATCTCGATGACATCACACGGACCGCGTTTGTTTCTACGTTCCAAAACAGGCGTGAACGTGAAGCGATCCGTTTAATCCCCCTCCCCTCTTTTTTTCGTGTGTGTATTTTTAATGATGATTGATTTGTGGGGTTTAACGTCCCAAAACCACCATTTGATTATGAGAGACGCCGTAGTGGAGGGCTCCGGAAATTTTGACCACCTGGGGTTCTTTAACGTGCACCCAAATCTGAGTACACGGGCCTACAACATTTCCGCCTCCATCGGAAATGCAGCCGGGAATCGAACCCGCGACCTGCGGGTCAGCAGCCGAGTACCTTAGCCACTAGACCACCGCGGCGGGGCTGTGTGTATTTTTTTTCCATATTGTGAGTGCTAGGTAAAAATATATATCAGTACCAATTCATTAGTTTCCATTTATGCAGGTTCCGTCGCTAGATGCACGGAAACGCATTACGCATCGCTGTCGTGTCTGAGGAGCTTGCGGTACCGACCTGTACGTGCTATCAGCCGTTACAAACGCGGTGGCTGCCACCTCCTACGTGTTTCGATAGCAGTGTTCAATTTAGCACTGGTATCAATTGGTGATAACGGTTGGAGGTAAGACGCTCATTTCTGCAAACCACAATGCAGCATCCCGAAATGGGGTGAAGTGACTCGCAAAATAATGAGTGCCACCCAGAACAAGGTTCGCCCATGGCCCCCAAGGGCGTAGCTAAAACTTTTTTTCGGGAGGAGGGGGTTCAATCTACTCAGGTACCTCAGTGCCGACAGGAGGAGGATTTAATGGTTATATGACCACAAAGTTCGTATTAGATGCTCATCGCTACGTGCTGATGAGCAACTTCGGCGCAACACCTATACTTTTTGTCTTGAATGGGGCTTTGCACCTGGCCCTAGTCCGACCCGAAAAAGAAACTAAACAAAGTAGTCTGAGCTCGGGCTATAGACCCGGAGCCCGCGCGCACCTCTGGATTGTATCGAGGCGATGGTTCTGACTTTTGAACAATTATGCTCGACGTTCAAATCTGTCACCCTGCTTTTCGCGATTACACAAGCAACTTAGAAGTGTGGCAGCTTGGGCTAGTTGGTATGGCATGACGATAGCTATAGCGCGAGAACAAAACGACGACACAGAGACAAGACCATAGACAAGTGTCTTTCGTGTCCTTCTTGTCTCTGTGTCGTCGTTTTGTTCTCGCGCTATAGCTATCGTCATCGTTACACAAGCAAGCGTGCAACCTCTCTTGGTTTGCACTGTTGTATCACAAGGCACGTAATGGTTCACTCGCAAGAGGCGGGAAAGCCGGCCAAGCCCTGCCAGAACTTTCATCGAGGTCGAGAGAGCTGCGAAAACTCAATCGCTTGCACAAGCACCGAGGCGAAGAACAGGATAAGTGTTTCAAATTATGAACAAAAAATCTCGCGAAGCGAGTGGAGCGAGGCAAACGGGTATCGACTCCCCAGCGCGCATCAACTGGCACTTGCGCCGGCTGCTGCGCCGTCTCGTACGAGTCGGGATCAAAGGCCACGACCGGGAAAGGGTTCCCAATAGGACGACGCAAACTAAAAGCGGCCGCCCCTACGAGCGGGATACGCCCGCGGAAGCCGCAAGGCGTACGTCAGGGCTTGGCAAGGCGCCCGGGAAGAACAAGCGGCACATGGCGCGCGAAGCAAAACAAAAGCATCGCACAAGCGGCGACCTTAGGGAACAGGAAGAAGCACCAGCGCGCGACGCGACTACCGAGAGCTGTGTAAATGCAAGTTTGCCTCGGAACAACGGAGCTAGTCTCCTGGAGCGCGACAACACTCGTGTCGACGCTTTCTTCTGCGATAAGGATAAAGCGAAAACGCCATGCGAACGCGGGAGCACGAATTTCAGACATGGCAGACGCCAGCTATATCGGGGTTGCGCGCCTCAGCACGAGACCAGCCGACCTCCCCTCAAAAAGGCGGAATGCGCGCAGCTTGACCTAGGTCAGGCGCGCGGAGACAGGGCAGGGAGAGTCCACGCCGAGTGAACGCCAGGGAGGCGGCGCGCGACGTTGCGCTTTCGGCGTGCGGGTGACGTCGTCTCAGCTGAAGCGATGACGTGAGCGGCAGTCAGCGTGCGTGCCGCCTTTCCTCGTTGTGCTCGCGACTGGGTCGGCGCATGCGCAGAACGCGCCCCTCAAGCTTCGCGAGCGGGCACCATTTTGCTGCGCCGGGTTTGTTTTGCTGCTCGGAGCGTCCGCCGCCTCACCGCTGTGCTACAAAGGCTGTGTTTGGGGGCGACCGCTGGTCGTCTGCCGTGCCCCCTGAAGAAAGTGGATAGTAAGCCCATGGTCAAGATGTCGGCGCTCATGTCTCGGAGTCACCGCCAGCACTGCTACCTGTGCGACCTGCCCCGCATGCCGTGGGCCATGCTGCACGATTTCTCGGAGCCAGTGTGCCGAGGCTGCGTCAACTACGAAGGCGCTGACCGGATCGAGGTCGTGTTGGAAACCGCGCGCCAGATGAAGCGGGCTCACGGATTTCCCGAGGCCGTAGCGCGACCCCTCTACAAAGGATTGAACGGAGCGCCGCCCGAAGTGGTGCCGCCGCCGCAGCAGCAGCATCGTGCAGCGGCGCCGAACGCTCCGGCGCCCATGGCACCCGTGATGGACCGTTTCGAGCGTCGCAACGCCATGCTCGAGTACAGCCAGCGTATGCGTGGTGCCGACCCGAGGGCCGCACAGGCTTCCGGCGTCGTGCCGTGCAAGCGCGAGCGAGACGACGACGATCCGCCCGAGCCGTCCAACAAGCGGGCCGCCGCTCTGCAAGCACTCGACGAAGCTGTGCCGCCGCGACCCCCGCTCACGCGCGGCGAGTCGCTGCCCACCGCCGTAATGGGGGTGCCGTTCGACGTGCGCTACAAGAAAGAGATGGTGGGACGAGTGTACTCATTCGACGCCGCTACGTCGCTCAAGAATGCGTCAGGTGAGCGTTTGAAAAAAAAGTGCTGGCGCCATCGCTTTCCTCGCCTGGAGCGGCGGCGGCGCGTGGATTTTTTTTTCTCGCTTCCTCCCCCCTTCACACCACCCTACGAAGCCCTAGGTGGCAGGTCGCCGGGCTCGCTTACGTCATAACGACGGTGCGCTGGTGACGTAGCCGTTCCGGCGTAGCAGCTCGCGCGAGCCTGGGTATGGACCGGCCCCAAGTTACCGGGGGCGCGTAGGGGGGTGCCGGCAGATGCGGCCGCCGTAACGATGGGTGGTGCGCGCATCGATCCGGGCGCGAAAGGCGGCCCTGCCGTAGAAAGCGTGCGACGCCGAGGACATGGCGAACGTGACGTGTACCTCGAAGTCCTCAGCGCCCTCCGAGGCGGTTCTGTCTGCTGTTTCGCTCGATGGAAACTCGCTGCAAGCGAGGAGGAGCTTGTTTGCTCCGTGTGTACGATTAGGCCTATCCGGTAGCGGGTTTATTTTTTGCCCCGATGGGACGCGCGTCCTTATCGGGGGCTCTGGCACCGCTGAGAGCGGTTAGATAAGATCGAGTTTAGCCGCACGGTCGGGACGACGACGACGCAAAATAACGTCGACGCGGCGAGAGATAAACAAGGAGCGATCGTTTTCTCGTTTGCCGCCGGACGCAGAGTGTGGCGCGAGAAGGATACACGTCGGTTTCGTGCAGGGAGGGAGGAGCGCGACGGCAAGTTGTCGAACGACCGCGTTGTCTTGTTTGTCTTTTTTGTTTTGCGCCGCGCTTACGTCACTGGGCCGGCCGTGCGCTCGACATCACGGCACGCTTTGACTGCACCACTCTCTCTTTTCTCTCTCTCTCTTCCGTTTGCCTCGTCGATTGAGTGAAACGCCGCTCTCCCCGGCCATTCGTTTGTGCAGTTGGTGCGGCAGGCCTCTTCGCAAAGAGGTGACGTTGAACGCCGCCGTCACTCCAGCCAGCGGTCGCGCTCGGTTGCCTTGTGGCATCTCTCTCAATCTATCGCGTACAGTGAGAGGGAAGGGGGGATAAGAGAGAAAAAGAAATTAATAAAGATTCCGCTGTTGCAAGGACAGGCAGCCGGTTGGTCCGTGTCACCGCAGCTTCGACCGCTTCGCTCGTGGCGAGCTTTACTTTTTTTTTTTCGACGCCGAGTTTGTTATTCCGAATGGACATTCCTCGCGGCCGTTTCCTGGCTCGCCGTGTATACGTCCCGACGCGAGTTGCGCGTGACCAGGGTTGGCTATTAAGTAGTCGCTTGGTTGTTCTTCTCGGTTAGTTACATAAGGCCGAGGAAAAGAATAATGTGCGTGCGCCTAGGAAGCGCTGTCCTATTACCGTGTCCCCAACTATACTTATGGTTACGCATCAGTGCATAATGGCAAAAACGAAGTTTCCCGGTCGTAACTGAATAGCGTGGATTGATTGATTTGTGGGCGTTTAACGTCCCAAAAACCACGATATGAGAGATGCCGCAGCAGTGGAGGGCTCCGGAAATTTCGGCCACCCGGGGTTCTTTAACGTGCACCCAAATCTGAGCAAAATGGCCACGGGCCTACATATCCGCCTCCGTAGGAAATGCAGCCGCCGCAGCCGGGATTCGATCCCGCGACCTGCGGGTCAGCAACCGAGTACCTTAGTCACTAGACCACCGCGGCGGGGCGTAGCGCGGATTTAACACGGCAGCAAAAACACTGCGCAGGGCAACAGCTGTCATGTGTTGTCCTGATCATTGCCCCGGGTTCGATTCTCTCTGTCCGCTGAATATTGTCAACCCAGAAGTAATTTAGTTAAGCTTGTTCGAGTGTTCGGGGATGCCAGTAAAGCAAACTACACCGAACCTCCTGAAACGGCGAAGTGCGTTCGGTGGTTATAGTTCTGTGAAGAGGTAGGTAGTATTGTTCCTTACTAGTTGTTCGGAGAGCTGGAAAGGACGCCGTGCACCGAAGACACTGTGTTGGAATACACCGTGGTCGCTGCTTAGCTGTGAACTTCGATTTGCGCGGTCTTGTCACGTGCTTAGCCGGGGAAGCGCGGCGCTAAAATGCGAAGGAAACTCGACAGATTGGGCGAGCGCTCGTTTCCAGTGCGTAATGTAGTGCTCGTGCAGTGTATCGCGTTTCCTTCGCCTTTTTGCGCTGTGTTTGTCCCGGAAACGCTTGAGCAAAATGTCTCTGCGGTGCGCATCCTCCTAACGCTTCTGGGATTTAAACAGTTCTGCCGCTCATTACGACAAATTGTGTCACTTTAATTGGTCGTTTCACTTCGCGCTTACTGGAAGAGTGCGCGGTGACGTGCGCCCTTAACTCTGCGTCTGCTAAAGCCAGCGGGGTGCCTACGAGCGCTAGCGATGAGCGGGAAAGTGTGTGTGTGGCCTCCAGAGCTGCTGTCGCCCGCCGTTAGCCGTCTCGGAGGCCACGCTAGTTGCGGGCATCGCCAGTAGTGTTCGCCAATGCGCTCCAATATTGTGTGGCTTTACGTTCCAAAGCCACCATATGGTTCTAGTAATATGGGTGTGAGGGGCGCCGGAAGTACTTGCCTCTAGCATTTCGCATCAATCGAAATTCGGCCGGGATTCGATCGGAGGCAAGGTTCCGTTTGGCGTTGCATACGTCTGTTGCCAGATTTGGCGGTCAGCGTTGCCGGACTGCCGCCAGATCCGACGGATAAAATTGCCCCTGCAAGCTGTGCCTTTCCCGCGAGTTCTCTGTGTCGTCCGCGGTGCATTTCGCCGAGTGCGACGTTGGCCGTTTTTAGTTAACGAAGTGAAACGCGCTTTGCAGAAGTCGGATTCGGTCGTGTCTCAGAATTTGGGAATGAACGACGCGCATGAGTACACACGCGCTCATGGGGAAACTGAATTAGTGCTCCGCGGTTTCGTTACGTGGGACTCGTGTCGCCGCAGCGCGGAATATGTCGGCAGCTGTGCATACCTAATCGACTGCGCAGAACGACTCGCGTTTTTTCTGGGGAAACTGAATAGAGTCGCAGCAGGCGGTGTAGCGCAGACCAGGCTCAATCGTGCCTCAGAAGCAGGGTCTCTTTGCGCAGCTGATCACGCGCGACGACGGGGACGCTATGGCCCCTCGCTGTGTCGGCACAATTCATATCGTTGAGACTAGTGTATATATAGATAGATAGAAACGGAGCTTGGGTCTCGCGCGTACCGGTAAACGAGACCACGCCCGGCGAGCCGGGGCGGCTGCCTGCACTCTCGATACGTTGCGAGTTGGCGCCTGTTACAGCGTCGATGGAGTTTGCCAGCCGGCCAAAACTTTAGGCACTGTGCGCAGCGGCAACATTTTTTTTTTTCTGTCTGCGCCATATTATGGAACGAAGTTACAAAAAATTTCTTCGTGGACATGCGCCTGAAACTTAATTCAGTCGCATGGCAAAGGTACGGAGAAAAAATCGCAGCATATCCACGGAGTGAATGATGATTGGTGGGGCGCAGCGTTCGTCAGTCTGTCTGTCCATTCGTTCTTGCGTCCGCCTATCTGTGTGATCCTTGGTGCATCCGTCCGTTTGTTCATTCGTCTGTCTGTCCGTCCATCTCTTTTAGCGGCCATCCCTCTGTCTGTCCGTCCATATGTCTAGAGAAAACTCCAAGCACAGCCATCTTACATCTTTTCATCATGTATTCATCATATACAAGTGCCCCCCCATCCATCAGAAATCGTAAGGACCGCTATTTCGGGTATGTGCCACTGGTGGTTAAGTTCTACGAGGGACGCACAAGCCACGCCATAAGGAGCTTCGCCCCCAAAAAACTGCCAAGCATGCACGATAGTCAAGGATTTGGCCAAACTGTACAAACATGTGGTTCACGATGTGTGCCAGTCGAGGTTTAGCGGCCTCCCATTGGCAATGCTGGGTATGCACTGGTAGTACACGGCCGAGGCTGGCCGCATCCCTGGTTGTCGACCTCGAACAGCCTCCTCGGCTTCCTTCGTGGACACGCACAGCAAGCCCAAAATGCGCGGGCCCTTGTTCGACGCGGCACCGTACGAATCATTCGCCTTTAATTGGTGCCCTTGTTATTGTAGCGATATGTATTGTGCTGACGGCCAGGGGGTGCATGGCGTTCCCGTGGTCGACGCGGCACGATCAGCTGTGCAGAGAGCTGTACTCCCTGCTTCTGGGACACGATCAGAAAAGGGAAGAGCACCGCCAGCTGCGACTTAATTCAGTTCACCTCAAAAATGTGTCGTTGTGCGTAGTATACTAGGTACGTACAGCTACGCAGATAATTCCGTGCTTCGGCGACACGACTTCGACATGTATTGAAACGCGGCGCACAAAGTTAGTTGATTCCCCTCGAGCGTGTACTTATGCGCGTTGTTGCGCCGTTCATTCCCTAATTCTGAGACACGATCGAGCCGCGCCTCATGCTTGCAAGCTGCGCACACAGCAAAAAGAACGCGCCCCGAATTTTGCAAAGCGCGTTGTACGTTCATTCCGTTAATTAAAGCGACACAACGTCGCACTGGCGAAATTCACCGCGGACGACATAAAGTCCTCGCGGGAAAGGCAGAGCTGCAGGGGCAAGTTTATCCGCCTAGTCTGGCGGCAGTATGGCAACAGACTTATGCAACGCCAAACGGAACGTTGCCTTCGACCGTGCGACCTTCGGGGTCAGCCCTCGAGGTGTTGGGAGCCCTTAGGCGACAAATCGATCTAAGAACGCACTCGGAGCTTAGTTGAGTGCGCTTTAAAAAAAGTTTTGCTGGATGATGTCATTGTCGATCGCGCCCGCCTTGTCCTTGCGACAGGCTGCTCTCTAACGCCGTGCTTCCTCTGCGTAAGCGTCCGCTATCTTGCTGATAAGCTGTGTTCTCGCGAGATAAGTGTGTCCAAGGTGTCACATGCCGCATCTACCGTCCGGAATGAATCGCGAGTGGACGTTGTGTGGGGCGTTGCGGTAAAGTACTTGCACGGGGTCGGGACGTACTGATAATAAACGTAAGCGAACATGATAACCACGCTAAGCTTCGTGCAAC